TATATATATATATATTCTTTTAATCAAACTAAATTTTGGAGAAATATAGAATTGAATTAAATAAGAATGCTACTAAGTGTATTGGAGAGGTAATAAACAATTATTTGAAATATTTCAGAGCCTCATTTAATAATAAAAATTATTAAAGTCACAGTACAGTGACATAATTTTTAGGGGTTTTCTCTTTTGTTTTTTTAAATAGCAAAGCCATCGTCCCTTTCACTCCCTCGCTTTTTATTATTATTTATAAATAGTATCTTTGGGAGTTCGAAGAACACGTCTCAATTAGATTTTACAAACCTATCTATAAAAAGAAACTTCAATTATATTGGGAGATCTAAGATCTAAATCTCATTCCATAGCTACAATAGAGAAATAATAAACTAATTATAGCAATCACATGCAAATGGGCTAATTCTGTAATTTGCTGATGTATGAGCTGGTATTCATCCTGGATGCCTATGTGATGATTTATGTAAATAACGATCAGTTCCAAGGCCTTTTCTTTCTCTCTATTTCGTTTTAAGCTGATCGATGATAAGAAGAAGAAAAATATAACGAACCAGTTAATTAGAATTTCCGACCCCATTTTAAGAATCTTCAACTTTTTCTATAGCTGAATTATTTGGGAATCTGATGACAACATATTCTTGAAGCTAAAGCAACTGATCATATTATAAAGAGAGTCAAATCATAACATTTCATTACATGAGTTGTATAGATCACAAATGACAGACACTTTGACCGTTGCATTAATTTTTGGATAAACTTATATCTATCTCCCCACCCCTAGATGATAAGATGGAAGTTCCAAATCCTATACATGATAATGATACATATTCTATCTATGTATAAATGAATTGAATTGAATGGTTTTCTAAAAGCTAAACCATTAATTCAAAGAAGAAAGAGCCTTGGCCAAGTCAACTAAATGAAAAAAAAGCACAGCAGTAGAAGTTGGGACACTGATTGCAACCAAAGCCATGGCACCAAGAGCCAAACTTGGCCTAGTGTTCATCAAGTGTGTCTGTAAAACTCCCACAGCTTCACATATGATGGAGTCGTAACTCGTGTAATAACGTTTCTCCCAATCCATCCAATCAGAAGGTGGCTCATAGTTTCTCTCAATCATATTCATCTCATGGATCCTCTTCCTAAGTATGATCATGCTCTCATCCACCAACCTCCCACTGAAGTTCTGGTCCCTCATTGATGCCATAATAACTGAACTCAATTTTCTCCCTTTTGAACCACATGTCTTGGAGGCTACAGAAAATGGGTGGAATATTTGTGAGGAATTGATCAAACAAATGGATTGCATTTTTTTTTTTGTGTGTAGTTGATTTATTGATGGAAATGGGAGAGGAATTATGTGATATTTATAGGCATTGGGGGAATGTTCTTTTTGTTGTGCTTATTATTATAATAATAATTTGGTAACGGAAGGAGGGACCTTGGGAGAGAAGTAATGCGGCAAAACCGTGTTTGTTTTAATCGACAGTTAATGTTTTTTTAAAAGCGCGTTTCTAGTGTGTAGTTGGGTTTTCGGGGAAGAAGCAATAAGTGGATGTACAAAATTGTGACGCGTGGTGGTGGAAAATAGAGTAACCATAAAGTTCCTCCAAATTTAGATTAATGAGATTCTCGATTTACGTCGTTGACTTGTATTTTAAAGCACAACTTGCTAATTATAAAAGAGTTTTAACATCATATACAAATGTTTTGCACCATTAGTAAGAGGTGTAGATCGAAGGACCGATCAATCTAGCTAAAGTTAATATTAAGTATGATATAAAGTGATAAATTATAATATAATATAATAAGATGTTTACAGGTAGAAAGAAAAGATTTTATTAAAAAAGATTACGAGTTTCACATATATATGTTTTTATATATAGTATTTGTAATACAACAAAAAAATTAGAATACAAAATAAAAAAAGAGAAAAAATATTTAAAAATAATATTAAAAGGACATAAAATTTGCAAAAAAGTAAAAGTTAGATGATAGTCCCTTTGAATACTTATATCACAACTTAATATATAAACTATTATAATACTAATTAATGAGACTTCTTCCTTTCCTAATACTTTATATATAATAATTACAAAGTCAACAAACTTATTATATGGTTATTTGAAATTAAACAATAATATGAAAAAAATTTCAGTGTTAATAATACATGTTTTGTTTATTGAAAATTATTCACTTACGAAAGAAGAAAAATTTGACAAATAACTTTTAAGTTGTGGCAAAAGCATCTATATTACGGTAACATTTTTATTTTGTTGAGAAAAATAAACATATCTCAACAGTAAAGTAAAATTTGACAATAACAAAAAAAAATCTTGAAAATATAGTTTTATGTAGTGTATATATTTAGCATGTGAATAAAAGTAGTGTAAGTAGGGAACTGAAAATGATAATCTGCGGGAAGCATGTGAATGATATTGCATTATTGATGATAAGAGAGAAGAAATTAATAAAATAATGATATTAAAGTGTAAAAGTAGAACAAGCGTATAAGAAATCCCGTGTGTTTCAGCGGTAGGGGTTGATCCACGCTTAAGTAAGGTCAGGGGTTCGAATCTTGCCTTGTGTATGCAGCCGCGTTAAATCTTGGGGCCAACTATTCCACTCTTTTGAGGTGCTTCCAACGTAGCGAGGAGATTAGTTAGTCACCACTGGGAGTGGATACTCCAGAAACGAAAAAAAAAAAAGGAAGGTATAAGAGGGCCACGTGGCAAGGTAGGCTTGACCTTTATTATAAGAAACGATGCAGGACGGCGATTTGTTCATTCAAGTGTCAGGTACTCTGCATCTTATCTCTCTAATTCTTAAAAATGATTCTTATTATGAGTTATCATGACAATTGTTAACATTTTTTTTAAGGATTAAAGTTAGTTAATATGATTAAATTTGATTTTAATCGATTAAAAATATTTATATTAATTTTAGTCTTTATAAAAAAAATTAAATTTATAAAAGTGTTTCTTATTAGTAGTGATGTGATGTGATATATATATATAAGGTCATTAGTAAGTGCTAAATAAAGTTATTTGTCAAAATGTTATCCGAGATCAATGATACAAATGTTTTGTGCAATATGTTTTTAATGCTAATTTTCAACAAAAGGTTGTAAAATAATTGGGGACTTTAAACTTAGTTTAACATTTTTTCATATAAATTAATTTTAAATATTAAAATTTTTTTAAAAGTAAATTCATGTGACTACATTGTAATGTTGTCGCATTTATTGGAAATATAAAAGGTAAGAATAGAGTTTACGAAATAATGTCTTTTATCGTTAAAAAGGATAATAATACTTAAAAATTATATAAAAATAAATAAATTAAAAGAGTCATTTGAAAATATTGGAGTCATTGTGAATTGGATGAACAATATGCATGAGTTGTAATAACTTGTAAATTTCTAATACTGAATTCGATTCTTCGATTTTTTTTTTCTTTTTTGAAATATTGGAAGACAAAGTTATGCAAAAGTATGCTGTTGTTAATGGAAATAATAGATATTTATATTGTTTAAATTTTAAGAGAAAATAAACATGTTTTCTATTGTATCAACTTTTGACTTTTTAGACACCTATACATATATTATAATAGCTATAACGTTGTTGTTAGAATTTTTATTTTTTTTTGGGAAGCAGTTAGGAAGTTTTTTCATGACGGTCAAATTAAAAATAATAAATACATATAAATTATAAAGTTTGCAATCTTTCACCCTAATTTTTAATTGATTACGTGTAAAGCAGGTGTTAAACATAAAACTTCATCGGAAATTGTTCAACTACAAAAAAATAATAAGTGATGCATACTGGAGAGAATATAATTCATGCCACATATTAGGACTTAATTTTTTTTTTAATTTAATAGATAAGTTCATTTATAAATATTTATTAGTAGGACATGGACCTTTTTAAGATTTGATTTGACTTGTTTAATCATTTATAATTTAAATTAAATTAAAAAATTACAATACTTATATAATTTATATGCATGTGTGTTGGCTTTTATATGTAGTAATTTGTTTCAATTGTGTGTATAAATATATAACGATTTTTTAAGTCTAGTTTTGCCAATATTTAATATATAGAATAAATTTGAGATTTAGATTTTTTGTTAATCTCTAATATTAGTAATGGTGATATTTTAATTAATTAAAAACTGGAGTGAGACATGTTAACTTGGGAGTGATTAACTAGTTATCTTGGGACAGATTATTGGGGGTATTGGTTCTAGCTGTTGCAGGAAATTAATATATACCTGCAAAATTAAAACGTGGGGGAAGAAGTTGTTAAAGGATAACAGATTCTGTTATATTTTGATATCCCTATCAGAATATATCTGATTAGTTATTTATTATTTGTTTAACAAATAGAAAGATTTTCTTATCTGAGTAGCATATTTTAGGCATTCTGTTATCAAGTTGATGTATATATATATCGTATACTGATCAATGCTAAATCATCACTTTCTGCCACTTCTCTATTTTTCCAACTTGGTTTCAGAGCTTTAAGCCTTAACAGCATCTTGACCGATCCAACAAACCATGGATTCTGCTGCCAACTCAAATCAAAAAAATGCCCCCACTTCATTGTGTTCTGTCAAGTTGGACAGAAACAATTATCTGTTCTGGAAATCTCTAGCGTTGCCTTTAATTTGAGGAAGCAAACTCGATGGCTATATCTTTGGGACAAAGGAGTGTCCTGAGCAATTCATTATAGAAGAATCAACAAAGAAAATCAATCCTGCTTATGAGGAATGGTTAGCCACCGACCAGTAGCTATTAGGGTGGCTTTTTAATTCAATGACAGAAGGCGTTGCCACTCAGCTTCTGCACTGTGAAACATCCAAAGAGCTTTGGGAAGGTGCTCAAAGCCTAGTTGGAGCGCACACACGTTCTCGGGTCACACTACTCAAGACTGAGTTCCATAGCTCTCGCAAGGGCTCAATGAAGATGGAGGAGTATCTCATCAAGATGAAATTATTGGCGGACAGTCTCAAACTTGCAGGGAGTCCTATCTCCAACACTGATTTGATCACTCAAACTCTAGCTGGCTTGGATATTAACTACAATGCTATAATAGTCCAATTATCTGATAAAAACGACTTGACTTGGATTGATATGCAAGCACAACTCCTAACATTTGAGAATAGACTTGAGCAGCTAAATTCCCTCTCAAGTCTGACCCTTAGTCCTTCACCAAATGTTGTAACCAGATTTGACCAAAAAGTGAATCGATCTAACAATCGTGGAAGCTGGAGAGGTAATAATTTTAGAGGTACGAGAGGTGGTAGAGGAAGAGGAAGACTATCCCGAGACAAACCAACATGTCAGGTTTGCGAAAAAATTGGCCACATTGCTGTCCAGTGCTTCTATAGGTTTGACAAGTCATACATGGGCCAATCCTCTGATGACAAGCAGGAAAAGCACAATGCCTTCATTGCCTCACCAAATTTCAACGCCTCATCAAATTCAATTAGAGACCCGGAGTGGTACTTTGATAGTGGTGCTAGCAATCATGTCACACATGACCCTAATCAGTTCCAGGAAATCTCTGAGCATGATGGTAAGACCTCTTTAGTTGTTGGTAATGGTGAAAGATTAAAAATACACGCTTATGGTACTGCAGCTTTAGACACTTGTCAAAGATCCCTTAATCTACACGATCTTCTCTATGTGCCTAAGATTACTAAAAATTTATTAAGTGTCTCCAAACTTGCTACTGACAATAATATTACAATTGAATTTGATGCAAGTGACTGTTTTGTGAAGGACAAGTTAACAGGGAAGGTTCTACTAGAAGGGAAACTTAGAGATGGCTTGTACCAGCTCTCTAGTGTCAACGCTCGACCGAGTGATGGGTCACATATCTACTTGTCAGTAAAGGAGAATTGGCACAGGAGGCTTGGACACCCTAACAGTAAAGTCTTGGATGAAGTCTTAAGGAGTTGCAATGTCAAAACTTCAAAGGATGATCACTTTAATTTTTGTGAAGCTTGTCAGTTTGGAAAATCACATTCTTTACCTTTTAAATCTTCTTTGTCTCGTGCCCAGGAGCCCCTTGAGTTAATTCATACAGACGTTTGGGGCCCTGCACCAAAAAATTATTGTTCTAGTTTTAAGTACTATGTACATTTCATTGATGATTTTAGTAGATTTACTTGGGTTTATCCATTAAGGCAAAAATCTGAAGCGGTGCACGCCTTTATGCACTTCAAAAAGTTAACAGAAAACCAATTTAATAAGAAGATTAAAGTGGTTCAATGTGATGGTGGAGGTGAATTCAAAGGTTTACAGAAAATTTCCCAGGAATCTGGTTTCCAATTGAGAATGTCCTGTC